GATCCCCACACACACACACACACACCCACCCACACACGCACACACGCACACACGCACACACGCACACACGCACACACACACACGCACACACACACACATATACATGCACGCGCGCACACACACACGCATACATACTAGCACATAGATTCGTACATCCCTCCATCCCTCCCTCCCTGCATGCATGCATGCATGCTATATACATTACATACTGTACTTTTACGTTCCATACATGCATACATACTCAAGCACGTGTACACACATCCGTGCACACATACATACATGGAGACATACATACGTACGTACATGCATGCATAAATTTCAACATACTTCCGTACGAACGTACATAAGTACCAACATGCATATGCAGCCATACGTACGCAGGTTCGTACTATCCGCGCATACATCCATATGTACATAAATGCGTACATACATCATCATACATATGTACATGCATCCTTGCCTGCTTGCTTACAGACATGTCTGCACACATCTTATGGTTGCAGAGCCCGAAGAACCTTCCTATCCAGTCCTATACACTGAAGCTGAAGCTCTACAACCACGAACCCAACCCTGCACTTCGAACACTCAAGCCTTAGGCCTAAGAACACACACATACACACACACACAGCTCTCTCTCTCTCTCTCTGTCTCTCTCTCTCTCTCTGTCTCTCTATCTCTCTCGCTCTCTCTGTCTTGCTCTGTTATGCCATGCCGTTCTTAAACTTGGTCTATCGTACAAATGCACCCGTGCAAAAGATACATTGGTGCTAGCCTGCACGGGGATGTTCCACCTTGCAGCACTCGTGGCCTGCCAGCAGGGGGGGGGGTATTAAACTCAAAACCCAGAGCATTATAGTTTTCATTATACTGCACATTGTTATACTTGATTAAATTACAAGTTACTACATCATATTTCACGGTTTTCTACTATACTATACGTCTTGTAGTTTCTTTAGTGTTCCTTTTTATTGCTTATGCTCTTAGATTATGTTATATCATATGGCTTTACCTGTGGTACCTCTCACTATGTCACGATGTTATGTTACACGTTCAATTCTAGTCTATTCTATGCTGTTCTAGTCTATTCCCCTAAGGGTCCAAGTAGTCCTCATTTATGGGTTTTAGGTACACAAACAGGCCCCAAAGTCCTTAAATAATGGGTACTTGGACCCTTAGGGTTCTATTCCACAGCACAATTTGGGAGTTTCCGAAAATAGGGGACCCTACTATAGTACCCTAAATAGTAGGATCCCTTTTAAAAGGACCCCCCAAAATAAGGTACACCCTATTTTCGGAAGCTCCCATTTGTCGTAGTACGTCAGGTCCAAGAAGTATCCGTTCAACGACGGAGACCTAACGATCTGCCTCCGCCTGAGATCTGTTTTTTCGGGGGTTTAGGGCTTTTTGGGTCGGGGGTTTAGTGTGTGGGGTTTAGGGCCCTAACCCCTAAACCCTAAACCCTAAACCCTAGTTTAGGGTTTCGGGTGTAGAGGTTTGGGTTGAAGGGCGGAGTTTGGGGGTTTAGGTTGGCGAGCGATCTGTTTTTGCTATTTTCGTTTGGTGCTCTTGGGGCGTTGGTAACAGTAGCGTAGGGTGTCTGGGTTTAGGGGCATAGGGCTTATGGGGCTTCTGGGTACCCAGTTGTGGGTTGGGGGGCTGAGGTTTGGGGCATTTGGAGTTTAGAGCTTTAGGGAACTACTTGGGGTCCTCAGGTCTGCCGGGCTTGAGGGGTTTAGGATTGAATAGGTGTCGGCATGGCTTTGGTGTTTTGGGTTTAGGGTTTAGGGTTTAGGTTTTAGGGTTTAGGGCTTAGGGTTTAGGGTTTAGGGTTTAGGGTTTAGGTGTTTGGGTGTTTGGGTGTTTGGGGTTTAGGGTTTAGGGCTGACGG